CTCTCTCTCTCACACACTCACACACACACACACACACACACACACACAGAGAGTGACTCACATAAGTGTCTCTGATCTCCTTCAGCTGGTGGTCCAGGTATTTGGTCAGCTCGTATGTCCTCTCGATGGAGCTCCTCTCATGGGACAGGACGAGCGTTCGGTCAAGCACCTGAGCGAACCCAACCGCAGCCAATAACAACAGCAGCACCGCCACCTGATCGACTGAGAACACGGGTTTCACTGAATGCACAACTGACAATTTCATGTGCATTTCTCTTTTTTAGAGCATTTCTGTTAATGCATTTCATGAAATGCATTAATAACTGTGTTATTTCTTAAAAATCCTCAAATGAGGACTGTGATATTGTTTGAGGAATAACAGCAAGTGGAGAAAATCTGTCTGTAATCAGCTCTGGGTAAATGTTTGGTTTCTAAGCCTTCACACGAATTATGGTGTGTCATTTTAGTGAATTTTTGTAATATGGTGGTTTTAGCTGTAATTCAAACGAAAATAGTTAGTTTTATGTTATGCTTTGATTATAGAGGTTACAATTTCATGCGGCTTTATCTGGCACTGCTTCTGCTACCGTCTCTGCTAGAGTTTGTTTATAGAGATAGAGAAGTTCTGCACAGGATTATTAAAGGGATTTATGTTCATATTGAAACGGGTCAAAAAAAGTTGAAATACTTTTTATGTACAGTGTATTATACCCTTAAGTTTGAATTTATCTCTACTGCTTAAATGTGCCTGACTTCAATATTTTAATGCATTTTGTTAATTGTGAGAAATTCATGCATGCATTTAATTAAAAAAAAAAAAAAAGACTAAATGAGTTTAATCAAAATGTCATACTCAATATTCTGATAAGTCTCCGCCCTACTTTTTTTTTCTTTTTGATAATCTGATTTACTCAGATGTGTCACAATAAGGAAGAAAAGATCAGACGCTTCTTATGTTTCATCATGACTTTGAGAATTAATGAGATCATTTTATGATAGCAATAAATACAGTGACCCCAATTGTATTTGATCACACAAGCAATACTGAAATATCACATAAATAACTAAAAAGTTTTAACTTTTACTTAATAAGTACTTTCTGTGTGTGTGTGTGTGTGAGAGAGAGAGAGAGAGAGAGTGTGT